AATTATTGGTTAACAATGAGAAAAAGGTTGAAAAACACTTGTCTAATGTATTACATGTCAGTGTACTGTGTTATTTGCCTGCCAGCTTTCAAAGAGAATCGGTACCAAAGGGTGACAGATCATCATTTATTTCCTTTAGACATGCTTCGGACCTGTACACTCTCAGTAATTCAGCACTCTTGCAAATCTGGCACACCTCTGTGAAATGACAGCTGGATTAGCAAAAGTCTAGCATATTAATTTTTTAATTTAGAAGTGTAGTTACACTTTATAATTTCCTTTTTTTATGTATATGATTTCAATTGACATGAATTGATACTATATGTATAATTCATGACAATTAAAATCATACGTTAAGATTTTAAAAATGTGAAAACATTTCAAGATCATTTGATGATAATTCCTATCATTTAAAATTGTTTATCATTTGTAATTGATTTCAAATGATCTTTTCTAGAACAACTTTTATTCTATAGATATTTCACTTCATAACTATTTTAACTCTTAAACAACTTTATTTATATACCTAATATATTATTCAATAAATTCTTTATGCTAGACAAAAAAGTTTGATTTGTTAATAAAAAATTATAACTTATATGTATAATTTCATATTCAACCAAAATTAATGTAGTCAATTAATAATTAATAATAGAGCACTAGTCTTAAACATAAAGTTTATACTTATAATCAAATATCTAATTTACTGTATATTGTTTCCATTCATAAGAATTCTAATATATAATATGAACATCTATAAATAAACTTTCTTTTATTTATGACATATCTGATCATTTTTAATCAATTAAATGAATACTTTATTTAATTAACATTTCAATCAAGTAGATGGATTTACATTCATCCATTTCAGAAAAAAAATATTATTCTGTAAACAACTATTACTTACACAGGAAATATTAGCTAGTGTGGAATAAGTGGTTATCCTGATTAGTTACAATTTCTGCAATTGCTTTCATTTTATAAACTAAATAACAATAAAAACACTCAAAAAACAATAATCCAGCAAGAAGAAATTAACTTATTAGAAGAACAAACATTTTCAACTATTTAACAGTCATTATCAGGTTTATAGAATTGTTTTTAAATATCATTCTGTATATAATTCTATAAACCTGATGATGACTGTTAAATACAGTGGAACCCCAGTTAACGAACATCCTGGTTAACGACCAAATCAATTAATGAACTTTTATTTTGCAAAAATTTTGTTCTTGGATAACGAACTTAACGGCTTTTTGTATCAAATTTGTAAGCTTGCCGACTTTTAGGGGGAATCAGTTAATGGTGTGTCGGTGATGGTCTATGGTCCATTCGTACATTGGTGGTGGTGGAGGAGACAAAGATGACAAGTATTTTACAGTGAAAATTGTTTATTAGAACGGGAAGATGTTTACATATTTGAGGTGGTTGGAAATGGCTTATCTACAGTATTTTCTCCTGGCACTGAGGCGTGGTGTATCGCTGGTCCTACGATAGTGCAAGCTGATCAGTCATAGCCTCAGAATGGACTAGATGGGTTCGCTTGGTCACAGAAGCGATGGTAGGTGACAGAGCTGCAACGACTTGAGCAGTTTGCGACGATTTCAGGCTTAATCCAGATGAAGACGACACAGATTAATCGCCATAGAATTTTTAGGTAAACTGCATTTTGACCTTGAGATTCGGGGTTTTTATAGTATTTCTTCCTTGAATCTCACCTTACGATTAGTCCTGCGTCCCATTCCTCGCTTCCCAATTGTTTTCTTCTTTGTCTCCATGTGAAAACCGAAACCAGATCAGGTCACAAGAAAGGTTTGTTTTGAGGCGTTTATTTGACACCTGTTCATCGACTCTGATCAGAGATTGTTAATAAACCTATAAGCCTTTCGCACATAATTTAGTCTATTGTTTCTGCTATCTGTCATTTTAGAACTTTAACGATCATACGCGATGTTTTTATACCCGTCAAATCGTTCTCCTTTTCTGAAAATTTAACCTAGATTGACTGTTTATGACCACTTCTGTCAGAGTTCCATCTTCCCCGCAGACATTCCACCTGATCCACCTGATCTGTTATGTCATTCGTTTTTGCGTCGTGTTTGTTTTGACAACTACAGTACAGTTTTTTTCCTTACTTCTCCCTGAACTTTGGTCCGACTTAACAATAGTGTTTTCGCTTTTAACATGTGGATATTAAATTATATTAGGTTGATGCAAAAGTTCGTCCCGTTTTTTTGAAAAGAATCAAAGAAAACCCATTTTACTAATAAAATTACAAAAATACTGATGGCTAGAACGGATTAATTGTAGTTGCATTAATTTCTATGAGAAAAATTGCTTTGATTAATTAATGAACGGACTCGTGGAACATATTACATTCATTAACCGGGGTTCAACTGTAGTTGAAAATGTTTGTTCTTCTAATAAATAAATTACTTCTTGCTGGATTATTTGTTTTTGGAATGTTTTTATAATAATCTCATCCAGTTTTTTGTGTAACTTTTAAATAATAGAATAAATTAATTAATTAATTTAATTCAAATAACATATGTTATAGAACTGATAACCTAAAATAATTAATAACAAGATTTTTTCACTAAATAATTAGGAATAAAAGAGTTAATGTTTGTCAATAAGTACTACAGCCCTGTATTATATTGAGTTAATGTTTCATTATGAAAAATGAAACAGTTTAGACATGATGATATATCAAGATCATGATGATAAAGCATTATAAGCTTAGTAATTTAAGGAATTATGATTGTCAGATTTTAACAGGGATTGTTGTTTGGTGAATGTTTTAAAGTCACTAAAAGAAAAATTAGCATCGCATATATTAAAAATTAATTAGCTAACTAAAATTTAGGAAATGATATATACATCTATATATGTTACTGTGAATGACCGATAGCTGGCAAATGGCAACATTCTCCAGTGAATGTCAACATTCACACAGTCATTTCGTGTGTGTATGAAATATTTGCTAAATATCATTATTTCTCACTTACACCAGCAAATGTTGACATTCATGCTGAATGTTGATATTTGCCGGTGTAATATTGATGAATGTTGAATAAAAATATTTTTATTAATATGTAAATTTTTCAACTATAAATTCGACTTTCATCTATTATCAGGACTTATTATACTGGTTTTACAGATAATATTACAAATATTACAAAGATTAACAGAAAACAATTTTTATTTTATTTCGTATTTGTATACAGGTATACGAAATAAAATAAAAATTGTTTTCTGTTAATCTTTGTAATATTATCTGTAAAACCAGTATAATAAGTCCTGATAATAGATGAAAGTCGAATTTATAGTCGAAAAATTTACATATTAATAAGGAAAAAAGGACATTGAGGCAATTTAATTAAAAATATTTTTATTACTTTAAGACAAAAATGCAACTTTTTTAATATGTCAAAATAGGAGAGAAAGCTTAAGTAACAGCACATGTAAATAAACTGTTGAACCTAAAATGAACAGTACATTCTAAATCGTTAAAGAAAATAATACAATAATAAACTTACACATAAATTATGTGATTAACATTATACAATCTTATTTATTGCAACAACTTAAACTGTTATGGCACTTTGAATTTCACAAGAGTTCCTTGCTTTTACAACTGTATTTATTCATGGAACACTTCTTTTTGCAATGACAGCGTGCATAGCCTTGCCCTCCACTTTTTGAATTAGCTGCAGCTGCTTCTCTCAGTGATATTTCTTGAGAAGAAATCTTTCCTATAGAAAATTTTCTTTACAAATTACGAACTGATGGGTATAAAGCTGCTTGAGGGTACCATTTTTGTTTGCTAATTTATAAAAGTCAGAGTCTTCTATTCCAACAACAACTGCCAACACATTTTGGGCATCTGTATGGCCTTGGTCGACATCGGGACTTGTATTCATATGGTATCACCAATTTGAGCAGAAGGAAATTTTCTTTTTGAGGTTCATAACATTTTCATTACTTGCAGAAGATTCTCTTTCGCAGCCACTCTTTTTATAGAAATAACTTCCTGTTGTTCAGTCAGGGCTTGATATGAAGATGTGGTGGGCTGCAGCTCCTCTTCAATATTTTCCTTTGGAATATGGTATTTGTTATGGCCACTGCTCAATTTTCTTCAAAAGTATTAACAATTTCTTCGACCTCCACCAAGGTTTATCTGTGCTTATTTACATACACCATCAATTGTTTGAATGTATAATAATATAACCAAATATTTGATCTTTCACTGACATATTTTATGTGTGTCGACATTCACCGGAGAATATCAACATTCTCTAATTTCAGTCTTTCATAGTAACATATATATAAATTATTTAATATTACATTGACATATAATAGTTTATTTTGTATAATTTTTATTAAATTATTAATTTAAATTAATATTATTGGGCTGCAATTTGAAAAAATTGTAGACCTATAAATTTCCATTGTCACCAGTTCATCCATATGTCTTTCCTTAATCTCAAGAATGGAGTTAGATAGATGAAATCCGAGACCAGATATGGAAACCTTAGGGGACAGGCGGTCCCGATTAACTATATACAAACTTCTGCTGCAAACTGGAAGTCACATTATTTCATTTCAAAACTTCCCCTGAAAGCAATTAATAGATGACTGGCACAACTCTATTGCTAAAGGAAAAGTATGATGTACATGGGTACACTACAGTACTAATTTGAGGTGGAGAGCATATATTTTAAATTTAATAAATTAAAGATTAAAAATTGCAGCCTGGCATTGTGATGATGTTACAATAAATAATTGCTTGTTTGAGTTTCAAAATTTACAAATAAATTATTTTATATATTTTATTTTTCTATGCTTTCATGTATGCATAGATATATTGTCTTATAAAAATACTGCAGAAATATTTGTTTACTGCAGATCCAAAATTTATTAAAATTTTTGATTTCTCTTATGATTAATGTTTTAACTAAATTGAACCTAACAAACATTAATTTTGAACCTTTTTTTAGTATTCTGGTTTTCAACAAACTGCTGAAAAATGTGCTGCTTGTGGTCACTTGATCATGGAAATGGTAAGGATTTTTAGATATTAAAAACATACATGTAAAATTATAAAATAGATATTTAGTCTTACTGTTTTAAAGATAATTTTTTTAATGGAAAAATAGATATTTTTATCAATTTAGAACTCTCCAAGTTAACAAAGCAGATCAAAATATCATTTTATTAAGAAATTTTACTTTGATATATGGCTTCATCTTAACTTAAGCATTCATATCAAACTGAATTTAGGTTTTAAATATTTTATTATTTATGTAAAATGCTTTTCTTTATTACTTTTCAAGCAAATGAGATAAAAATTATTTAATCTTGATAATATTGAAATCTAAACTCCTTGATAATTATAAATGAAAATTAGGAGAAAGTAGGGTAATATTGTTCACCTAAGAGAAAACTAAAATAACACACAAATTTATACAAACATCAAAACTTTATTAGTAAAATATAAGTTTGAAGTGTACTTTACAATTTTGTTTTATTTACTTTACATATAAGTTATTTTAAAAATTTTTATTAATCAATTTCTAATGCTATTCATTGCATGGGAATGCCCAGCCATGTAATGCTGAACAAAATGGATAAATTTGTTTGTAAAAGCTTGTTTGATTTTAATTTGTCTGTTTTATTTTGCATTAAGTATACCTGAAGATGTCTGTTATAAACAGATGAAAACGTTAGTATAAATATATTAATTTGAGATATGCTGGGGTGGATGTTTTGTCCATGTGAGAGAGTTTACAAATAATCCTTTTTTACAAAAATTCACATGATTGAACAATTATCATCACTATGGAAATCTTCTGGATTCAGTGGATGATGAGATTACAGAGTTGGCAACTGGCATTGAGTTCCACATGGTTTTTATGATGTCCACTCACATGGACCAAAGTGTTTCACTGATTTTTGTCCAGTATTGCTTCCTGGGCAGTCCAAATTTGGGAAGAAGGTTTCTTCTTCCAATAGCATGTGTCATTGTTGGAATGAGTTTAAAGAAAATTTTAACAGAAATCTATTAGCAGATATTCTGGGTAATGTTTGGATAATGGGTAATGTTCTTTGGATTTTGTTATGCAAGTTAATAAAACAATAAAGTTGAAAATTAAAGTTATTACTTTGTAAATATTTTGGACCTCAGACAAATAACAGATTTTTTCTGCATTTATAAATTTTTATCTTTCATTAGTTTAGTCTGTGATTCCATACATTGGATATTTCTCCTAAATCTTTTCATTAACTCTCCAGCAAATTAATACAGGAGATCCTCATTAATTCAAACTTGGATAGTTTGAAATCTCGTTAGTTCGTAACTTTACTAATTTTCCCAGTCAGGTATGTAGAGATTTACATGTTAAGGAATTTGGTTAGTTTGAAATATGGCTACTTTGGAATTCAAAATGAAAATTCAGTTTGAACTGTGATATGCATGTGTTTAAATCAAAATTTACATGCTTCCATGCTATAAGAGAACAATAGACCATGAACAACTCTAATCTGATCAATGTGGATTTGCTTTTATAGTAACACATTTTTGGTTGTCACCTTACCAAGGACTACTGTTTTTTCTCTTACCTCATAAAATACAGCTAGATGTTAGGGTTGCAACATTCAGCTACAAGTAGCTTATTGAGGCATTTGTAAGGCTCTACATCAAGGGTCGCCAAACTTTTTTGATTGTTGACCCCCTACAAGTTTTTGAAACCTCAAATCGACCCCCATCAAAAAGTTTGTGTTACATGCAAAACAAAGTTCTTATTATTTTAATACATTTCTTTTAATTTTGTATTTTTTTTTCATTTATTGTATATTTGTTAATAATAATTTTTGTAACTGACAATCAGTGAGATGGATAAGCTTGATCCTTAGCTCACCCTTATCCTTAGCTTAAGCTTGATAAGCAATCCCCCAATAATGTTATATTGACCCCTGGGAGTTGATATCGACCACTTTGGTGACCCCTGCTCTACATACTAGATTTGGATGACTTATGTTTTATGTCATGTTTTTGGACTGATTTAAAAATAATTTGGGCTACATTTTGAGAATTCTGCTTTACATTTTATAAAACTTATCTGGAAACCTGTGTGGTTCTCATCAGGTATGTGCTGTTTACCTGCAGTTTATTTCTATTATTATTATTATTAATTAACAAAAGTAGATTTCCTTATATGTAGCTGTATTTCATTTACTTAATAAATTACATCAGTTCATGTCATTTGGCATATTGTACAGAAATATATAAAACTCAGATAATTTGAAGTCACAATTATTTTGTTCCTTAAATTTTGAACTAATGAGGATTTCCTGTATATGGTTAACTTTCAGAGAGTCTCGTGGTTTCTACTGTGTCCAGTAGTCACATGGGGTCTATTAGACCCCATTTTCTGATCTGAAATTGTGGAAATATGGACATTACATCAAAAAAAATTTATCTTTTATTCCATCATTTATCCAGTTTCTAAACATGTAAAACACTTTTAGTTAAGAAATAATACAATTTTTAAAATTATTTGATGTAGTTTGATCCAAAACATTAAACATATATAAACATACAACTAGCTGTCTGAAGTGTTAAATTGCATCTACTGACTTCAATTAGCTACTGGATTAAAGATGAACATCACTGAGCCCAATATATTAATAATAAACCAAATGATTGCTGTAATTAATTGGGCTAATTAAGTGCTATTATTAATAATTAACTTATTAAGTAATTTGGTTCTAGAAGTAAGTGTTAGGCACCATCTGTTATTAAATTTAATAATTATAACATTTACTAATTAATTTAGAATATTCTAGAAGAAAAGAATTGGCCTGGAGCAGGACTTGGACCCACAACTCCCGCTTACTTTGCAGATGCATTGCCAGTTATGCTACCTGGACCCCGAGTGATTCTTCGCTTCCAGACATATTTAATTATCATATAACCATCCAGGTTACTCTTGGTGCCAACTGGGGATGACACCCTATATCCCCAATCAGCACTTAATTAGACTTATTAATTATGATGATTATTTTGAAGTTAAAGTGTCCATTTGAAACTCAATTGAAGAAAAGTTTATTGCTGTAATGGGAGACAAAAAATAGGAATCCAGAAAAAAGTCACAACACAAACACTGTACAAATATAGACATACATATATAGGGCAGTGAAGAGCTTGTATGGATCCCAAGGGTAGAGTGGGTTCCTTTTACTTTTTAGAAGGCTCAATTAGCAATTTTATTTTGAACTAATGAAATATGAAGAATGTTTCTTTATTGATAAAAAGCAGTCTTAAAAAATTTATTTTCTGTCAGTAAAAGTAGCTAATTTTATACTTTGAGAACCAACTATGGGTCCCAGAGAAAAAATTCTTGGACTTTGCTTTCATCACACACACACATTTATGTACATTCTTGGCCCTGTTTCTGCATTCCTCTTTGATAGGAAGGTAAATTGTTGATCATTTTTTTTCTTAAGGATAATGTCAATCAGTCTCAGAAGAGTAATGTATGGAAAAGATGGTAATTCTGTCATATAAAAAACATTTTAAGTTTTTTCAACTAAGTACATGTCAAATTTGAAGTTGCATATAAAGTTAGAGAGTTATATTGTAAGTTTCTGTGAAGGGCATGTTAATACATGACTATTTAACTAGTTTTTAAAATTAAAAATTTATCTGTGTTTTTTATAATTTATATGAAGAGGTGCAATATTTGTTTTAGTTTAGATAAATTTTTAATTTTAAAAACTAGTTAAATAGTCATGTATTAACATGCCCTTCACAGAAACTTACAATATAACTCTCTAACTTTATATGCAACTTCAAATTTGACATGTACTTAGTTGAAAAAACTTAAAATGTTTTTTATATGACAGAATTACCATCTTTTCCATACATTACTCTTCTGAGACTGATTGACATTATCCTTAAGAAAAAAAATGATCAACAATTTACCTTCCTATCAAAGAGGAATGCAGAAACAGGGCCAAGAATGTACATAAATGTGTGTGTGTGATGAAAGCAAAGTCCAAGAATTTTTTCTCTGGGACCCATAGTTGGTTCTCAAAGTATAAAATTAGCTACTTTTACTGACAGAAAATAAATTTTTTAAGACTGCTTTTTATCAATAAAGAAACATTCTTCATATTTCATTAGTTCAAAATAAAATTGCTAATTGAGCCTTCTAAAAAGTAAAAGGAACCCACTCTACCCTTGGGATCCATACAAGCTCTTCACTGCCCTATATATGTATGTCTATATTTGTACAGTGTTTGTGTTGTGACTTTTTTCTGGATTCCTATTTTTTGTCTCCCATTACAGCAATAAACTTTTCTTCAATTGAGTTTCAAATGGACACTTTAACTTCAAAATAATCATCATAATTAATAAGTCTAATTAAGTGCTGATTGGGGATATAGGGTGTCATCCCCAGTTGGCACCAAGAGTAACCTGGATGGTTATATGATAATTAAATATGTCTGGAAGCGAAGAATCACTCGGGGTCCAGGTAGCATAACTGGCAATGCATCTGCAAAGTAAGCGGGAGTTGTGGGTCCAAGTCCTGCTCCAGGCCAATTCTTTTCTTCTAGAATATTCTAAATTAATTAGTAAATGTTATAATTATTAAATTTAATAACAGATGGTGCCTAACACTTACTTCTAGAACCAAATTACTTAATAAGTTAATTATTAATAATAGCACTTAATTAGCCCAATTAATTACAGCAATCATTTGGTTTATTATTAATATATTGGGCTCAGTGATGTTCATCTTTAATCCAGTAGCTAATTGAAGTCAGTAGATGCAATTTAACACTTCAGACAGCTAGTTGTATGTTTATATATGTTTAATGTTTTGGATCAAACTACATCAAATAATTTTAAAAATTGTATTATTTCTTAACTAAAAGTGTTTTACATGTTTAGAAACTGGATAAATGATGGAATAAAAGATAAATTTTTTTTGATGTAATGTCCATATTTCCACAATTTCAGATCAGAAAATGGGGTCTAATAGACCCCATGTGACTA